CGCTGCCAAGTTGAAATTAGGGAAACATTCTTGAAATAGCAAACAATGATCAACCGGAACATTCGCGGGTACCCTACAATGCGAGACCGCCCTTGGGTGTTGGCAAGTGGTAATGGTGGGTTTATCAAATGCTTTAATGTTTGATCGTATTAGCCAAACGAACGCTTGCGGTGCAATACTGCAACAATTTTAATGAAGTCACGCATGCTTGAAAAAAATGTGGTTGTACTTTCACCGTGTCAACTGAAACCTTACACTTGAACTAAACTTAGTGTATTTTAATGGGTGATCCATTTCTGGGCTCTTCAATCGAACGATTAGCATTTGTTTTACCAAAAAGGTATACACAACAAGAGCAGTAAATTTTCGTTTATTTCTGCTGATTATGATTGTACAATGATTTAAAAATTCAATTGATTATCCTACCTGGCTCATCATCTTTGTTTAATTGGATATTCTAATTTAATATTTGCGCGGAGGAGTGTTTAGGATCATCCTAAGGACCTTGTTCTGGATCCATTGGAGTTTAAGGTGATGGCATTTGGCGCAACTTTCCCAGATTGGCATACCATACTCGATTTCGGAAAGCATGATTTGCTTGTAGACTGCAAGCCTATTTTCCAGGGACAGGGTGGACTACCTGTTGATAAGTGGATAAAGACTGGAACGCGCAAAAAATGGTCGACAAAAAAATCGTTTCTTTCAGTCAAAATTCATATCACAAAAATCTTCTTATATTTCTTTTGGTAGTTCAATTCATATATTTAAAGGAATAAAAATGTTCGTTTATTCTTTTGGTTTGCCAAATACGAACTGCCGTGCGTTCCGCTTAACCCCTTCCATTAAATTTTGCACAGTGGTCTCATCAAACTTATTCGCCGCCGAACACCAGTTAGATTTAAACTGCTGCTCGTTTTCCATAGATTTATTAGTTTTTTTAGATTCCTTTTGATCAAGGCCCAATACCGTTCGATAGGGCGGAGTTCTGGGCTGTTGGGAGGGTTCTGGTCTATCGGTACCACAACCACGTTGTTGCCTTTTTCCCATAGTGGCCAAGTCCGGCCAGAACAGCACAGGTCTATTATGTTGCTTTAGGAATTGTAGCAGCAGCGTTGCCAGATATACCGATTCCGAACTAGATACCGATGTACAGATAAGGTTTCTCAGAATACCGATTTAAGAGGTTTTATACCGATTTATACCGATTTTTTTTTTGAATAATTAAAATGATTATTGCCTGCCCACGCTCAGAATTTTTGGAGAAAATTGTTTTGAGAGACTTGTATCTTTTTGAATATCTCAAATTTTTCTCAAATTCTAAAAAAAAATCATCCTCAAGAATGTCCTATGGATACTTTGTTGATTAATGCTTCAATTTTATCATCGTTTTTGGCAATCCATGAATCGATAAACAGTCGATGGCTATTTGTGGTAATTCTGGGGGAATCGGGAAATACCTTTTAAGCATTATTTAAGTTCCTGGATTTGCTTTTACCTTACATCGTTAATTATTTTACGATTCCTCTCGGAAACTTATTTCGACTTCCCTTGGAAGCTTCTTCATACTTCGCTCGAATGATTCTTCCATCTTCTCTCACCAGTTTTTTCAACTCTTCCGGAACTTCCGCGATGATTCCGGATTTCGATTGCGGATCCACACTAGCTGCAGGAACTTTTAAGAAGTTCTGAAACTTCAGAAAAGTCTAGACTTTCCAGTAAGTTTCGATAAATTAAAGAATGTTTCAATAAGCTCGAAGAACATCAGGACAGATTATTAAATTTCAAGGAAATCGTTGAAATTTTAAAGGAGTTCCGAGAAACTCAGGCTATTTCCGAAAACTTCAGCAATGTTCCGAGGGGTTCATGCAAATTTAAGAAACTTAAGGAAAGTTACATGAACATTAGCACATTGTTAAAACATTTTATGGGAAGTTCCGTGCTTATTAATGGCAATGTCGATAACTTTTAAAAATTAGAAAAATCGGGAAAATCAGAGAACTTCAATGCTGATGTTACAATAAATTCAAGAAAATTGCGAGAGCACATAAGAAATTTTTTAATCTTCAAGAAAGTCTAGAGACCTTCAAAGTTGACTGGAGATATTCCGGTAATCTCTTTAGAATTAGGAAAGTTCCAAGTATTTCAAAGATGATCAGAGTACGCCAAAACAACCCTATTAACTTAAGGAAAATTACAAGAACTTTTAAGAAAATCCGAGGAAATATGGAATATTCCTAAGTAAATTTCAGGAATGTTCCAAAAACTTCAGGGGCATTGCGGGGTCTCCAGAGATGTTTTATGACCATTTGAAAAAAAATTATGGATCATTAGAACATCCCCCAAGAACTCTTTTTTTCCGGAATTATCTCCTTGTTTCTTTCGACTGTTCCGTTAGCGCTCTGACTTCCTCCAGATTTTTTTTCCAATCTACCTTAGGATGTTTCTGCTAGCGTCTCCAGGAAGTTTCTTCCGTCTTCCCCAGGAAGTTCAATTAAACTTCTCGCAGAAATTTCTTTCGTCTAGTTCTGGAATTTTGTCCAGTTGTTTTTCTTGTTACTTCTATTGGAAGGTTTTTCCGAGCTTCTTCTGCCTTCCCCTGGAAATGACTTCTGCTTGATGTTATTTCCGATTTCCGAAACTTTTCTGCCTTTCTTTGAATGTGAAGTCCAATTTAAGCCTAAAATTTTCTTTAAATTTTCGCCAGAAGTTTCTCAATTTATGTATTGGAAGTTCCACATATGTTTTTCTGACTTTTCTCAGAACTTTCCTCTAATTTCCTCACGGTGAGCTTCTTTCTTCTTTTGCTTATGTTGTTTTCAGCTTCCTCCCGAAGCTCATTCAAACAGTTCCGGAGTTTTCTTCCGGAATTTTCCGATTATAGTCCAAAAGTTCCTTTTTCTGATGCGATATAAAACTCCTGTTTCGGAAGCTGCTTGAAATCCACCTTCACATAAGTTTCGTCGTCCATGACGACACAGTCGAACTTTGTGAGCAGATTCGTATACAGCTTTCGGGACCACTGCTTTGTCGACGTGTTTTGTTTGTAATCTTGGTTCGCCACCTTCACCTTCTTAAACGTCGACAACCCGGCTCGTTTCTTGGCCCGCTGCACAGTAGTATGGGAGACATTCAGCTTGCCAGCGACGTCCCGGATGGAGAGGTTAGGATTTCGCTTATATTTCATCGCCACCTTCTTCGTCGTCACTGCCACGTCCGGATTACAATTGCCGCCGCTTCCAGGCTTCCTGCTCCCCGAACACTTTTAAAACGTTTGTCATGGTCGATTTGGATACTTCCAGCAATTTTGCCAACTTGGCGTGGGAGAACGTCGGATGCTCTTGCTGCGCGGGCAAAATTTTGACACATTACTCCTCTTGCTTGGTCGTCATTTTGAAAACTGGAGAGCAAACGGTGAAAACTAATCATAGCAAGCATTGTATATACACTCATCTTCCAAATACAGCATTTCAGGTTTTTGTAGTTGTATGCATTTTTAACAGAACAATGATCTTATCAAGATGTTGCACTTGGTTTTCGTTTTGTCAACGTGCTCCCTGAAAAGCAGCCCACTGTCAAGAGTCAGTCCGAGGTAGGCTACCTCTTTGGACCATTCCACCACTGTGCCAGTTAGGCAGATATTGTTATTTTCCGACGGCCAAGTCTGGGGGATTTTGAGTGTTGAAAAATTATGGCCTGGGTCTTCGCCACATTGATACAGATCTTCCAGCTGTTGAAATACTCAGACAGGACATCCAAGCCTCTCTGGAGTTGGTAGTCAGAGCTCTGATGACCCTACCCTCGTAGACGACGGATGTGTTGTCTGCGAACCGAGACACCCATCCACCATCAAAAATAATCGGAATAATGGAGGTGAATAGATTGAACAGGATGGGCCCAAGGAGACCTAGAACGTCCTGATCGATAGATAATTTTGTATGACCTTCACGAGGAAGATCGGAAGACCGAATCGATGCAACTTGTACACCAGGCCATCATGCCAGACATTGTCAAATGCTTTTTCAACTTTTAACAATGCCATAGTAGATGTTTTTGGTCAGTTGGTGGACGGTCGATCAACCTTTTGCTCCTCGAGTAAGCTGTTGTTTTCTTCGGCAGATGTTAGAAGCTGGCTGTAAACTGCTCTTTCGGACAGCTTGGATAACCCTGAGAGAAGGCTGATGGGTTGGTAACATGAAGGAGAGGAAGGATCTTTCCCAGGTTTCCGGATGGGTATGACTTTAGCTGACTTCCATCCCGAGGGGAAGTAGCCAAGCCGGAGGAAAAAAATCTGTGCCAGATGGCGGAAGAATCTGGCACTCAAATGTTTGAGCTCCAGATTGAGGATGTTGTCGAAACCTGGGGCCTTCATATTTTTGGATGATTTGATATAGGCTAACAGTTCGTCAGCTGTGATCTTGGATTCCTCACGAAAGATGTTGGGAATCTGGTGGAGGTTGGCTGAGGTCTGTCCGAGATTGAGTGAGCTGAAGAAGTATAGGGTGGCCTATCACTGCAGCCTTCTCTTCAGGGGTTATCATTGGTGGAATGGACCTAGGCTTGTTTTTAAGAATTTTGATAAATTTCCAGAACGGCTTAGCAGAATCTGGGAGAGAGCTGATCTTACTAGCAAAGTCGTTATTTCTGAGATCCACCATCCTGGCTTGGATAATTTTGGTAAGGTGATTGTAATTGGTCTTATGGACAGGCAGATCAGAGCGTTGGTACTGCCTTCGAATCCCAGCGTTACGGAGTCTTATAAGGTCTTTGGTAGATCTGTCAAGGTTCAGAGTATTGCTCACCTGTCTGGATACTGGGACGTATTGTTCCCTGGCCAAGGATATTCCCCCCTCGATAGATTGCAGACACCGGTAAACGTATTCGGACGTCTCCGGCTGGACATCGTAGTCGATGGTTGTGTCCACGCAGTGTTGAAATTGATACCAGTCGACACGATGGTAGTTGCGCCGTGAAGCTTCGAATCGGTTCACCGAGGAACCAACTTCGGCCACCACCGGATAGTGGTCCGAGCTGAGTCCTGGTAGGTGATAGGTTGAGCGATGTTATTGCCCATGTTGCTAATGAAGATATCGATAGTAGCGTAAATTTCGGACCGAATCAACTGGGTGGGAGTGTCTGAACTCAAGATATTGTACTGCGCTTCCTGCAGGTCGTTGTTCATGACAGTGCCGTTTTGATTGCGCTGACTGTTGCCGCAAGGCGTTTAGGTCGCAGGCGATGATGGAGTTTTACCGTCATCGCACCACCGTGTGAACTTGACAATATCTCGTCGCAGGACTGCTGCCGACCCGTCCATGATGTTGACTTGTTTGGGGCAGTAAGCCACAACAATGGTGATGGGGCCGACAAGAGTAGAAATTCCCACCCCTATGGCATCGATAACCTTCAGCTGAAAGCTAGGCAGCAACCGACTGTTGATGTTCCTCCTTGGAGCGATGGCAACTCCTCCTCCCCCGAAGCTGGATCGATCCAGCCTCACAAGCTGAAAATTGGGAAGGAAGACGTTAATCTCGGGCTTCAGGTGCGTTTCGGTGATGATGGCGATATCGATGTTTCGTTCGTTGAGGAATTCAACGAGCTCGATGCTCTTGTTCCTGAGCGAGCAAGCGTTCCAATTGGTAATTTTGATTGCTTCACGGTCCATACTTATTGATAAGGGATACTGCAGCATGGAGCTGTTCTGTTCGGGTCCAGCAGGTGGGCTGAATCATGATTACTTCTGTCACGAGTGTAACAAGTTCCACCGATGTAAGCAGAGTGTCTGCATTCTTGATTGCTAGTGCAGGGAGAGCACCTAATGCTGCTACGATAGCCCCGGAGGTGGAGAGGTGCTCCGGTATGCAGCGAATGAGTTGAGTTTATCGAAGTGTTATGTACCCCCAGCAAAACGGTTATTGAGTGGAAGCACCGGAATTTGGCGCTGTTGCAGGATGGGTTATTTGCAGGCACTCTTCTGCGGACAGTTTGATTCTTTGTAGAGGCTTTATTGCACTTGCTTCGGGCATTTCTTGCTGGTCACTAGATGTGCTGCATTACAATTGGCACATTTGGGGTCTGCTTCCTCCAATAATTCGCAGGCATCATGTGCGTGTTGATTGCCACAATTGTTGCAACGGAAAGACATGTGGCAGTTTCTCGTTCTCATGCCCAAACAGCACGGTGGACTGGCTTGTATTGTTCCCAAATCACCACGATGTGGAAAAGGGCCCGAAGCCTCTGGAGGTCCTTCAAGCATGTTGCATTCCTTTCCAGGTGGACCAGATACAGCTGTTCACGGTACTTACGTGAAGCGTTATGACGATTCATTTTGAAGATTTGGATCGGCTTGAATCCATCATTTCATCCGACAGTGTGACTATTTACATGTCGGAAAGGCCGCGCAGGACCACTTTGACCAAGCGGGTCACCTCAATATCGTGGGACAAATACTCCACGTTTTTTTGTTTCAGCAAAGGCTTGACGGCCTTGTAGTGGTTCATCGCTGGAATCATCAGCTTGATGCCTTCAGTACACATGCGCATGGTGCACTTGAGACCTTTACCAATGTAAAAGTTGATTTTTTTTCCTCAAGCCTTCCGGGTTGGTTGGTTGGTTAGTTGCCTTTATTAAGGAGATTTTCAGCCAGACGCTGGTTCATCTTCAGAAGCCTTCCGGGAACTTTCTCCTTCTTTTCCACTTTCTCCTTCTTTTCCACTTTCAGTTCTTCGCCGTTTTCCAGGATGGCGTATCGATTGTTGGCAAATTGTGCCATTTGTGTGCTGACTGTGTCCGATCGGGATCATTTCCCGGCCGGAATAGCAGTCGCGTTATCACGCGGCGGTTTCCCCATGCTGGGGTCGGGCGATGCTTCACCAAACACCGCGAAAAAGGAGCACGAACAGTATGGAAACGAACGTAGCGAACAACTCGAGAGAGCGAGTAGAAACCGAACTGTACTGCTTGACGGTCAAGCAGAGACGGTCAAGAAGAGCAGAAATCAATGCAATGCAAATAATTCAGTTTTCCCGCCAGAATCTAGAAATAGAGGATGACACAACGATGGAATTTTCACATACACTCAAAAAATTTCACACGTCATCATCATGTGTCTCACACTTAATTTTGCGCTTATTGTGAAACACATCCATTTCATGTGTGAATCTTATGCTATGAACCATGCCTGAACACTATGGATTTGAATTGTGACATACTTGGATTCTATGTGCCTCATATGGTGATATCAATTGCTTTGCACATCATAGTTCAATATTCTACAATATTCTACTTTATCAACTTCTACTTTACCAACTCTAAAAATGAATCGAAAAATATATAAACAAAACTTCCAGAGGCCAGAGCTTTCACATATCTTTTTAATGGGTCTGATTTGGGATTCGATCATGGACTGTTGGGGGGTGTGCTGCTGCCGGAGTCTTCGTTCGATCTCACTGTGCCACGGTTGTTCTCATATATGAGGCGGGTTGATAGGATAAAGTCACAACTCTTGTTTTCGATGTTTACCTTTCTGAGCAAGAAATTCGCATTGTATTGAAATGCAAAGCACTTTAAATCCATCTGTTATGAACAGTAGTGTGATTCAATGTGCAATACACTTTAATAGATAGTGAAAGATTTTCAACATTTCAAAGTTTGAAACACTTTAAATTAACGTGTATAACACATTTAACCAAGGTGAAATACACTTAAAGTTAATGTGATTGTGCATTTAAAAAAAATCAAGTGTTTAAACACTTCGATCAAACGTGTGGAATTTTTTGAGTGTACAGTTTTATCCTATAGATAGGGTTAACTATCCCATTTCCGGCCTATTAAGCACAACCCGCACTTAGTCTTTCTTAATCTAGCGCAGTTTAGCACCAAACAGAATGTTATTATTACTGGGGGGTTCCAAATTTATTTACCTTCCCGGTACGTACGAAGATTTGATAAAGAGAAACCAATCGTTGAGATATTGTCAAAAGCCTAACACTGCTTCTTGACGCCATACTCGGCCTACGGATTCTAAACTCGACCTAACGCATTGAAACGCCAATGAATTCACTTCGGCCTATCGGATGAAGATAAAAATGGATTCGGTCAGAGCGCTTCTTTTGTTTTGGGAATAATGGGTGCAAACCTTCATATCACGCGTTCTCATTGACTTCGTTCTGTAGCTTATTAGCTAAAGTATCGTACCAAATGCATAATTGACTTGTTAACTCTTAAATCATGGATTTATATGAAGTTTTCTGCTCGATAGGCCCAAAATGGGCGATTAGGCCGAAGTAGTTCTCTACCCTACCATGTAGATAATGTTTTTGATTTTTATACGTCAGAATGTTCATTTAGTTATTTACTTCTACGGAATGATCCATGAAACGTTAAATAGTTTTCTTTTAACTTCATACAGACATTTTTTGACTTCCTCGGAAGATTCTTCCAATTTGCCATGATAGAGTTATCTGACTTCCCCTTTAAAATCCTTCTGATTTTCCATGAACGTGTCTTACTACTTTTCGGGAAGTTTCTTGCCACTTCTTCCGGGAGATTCTTCCAGTGTTCCCCTGAAATTTTATCCAGAAAGTTTATTTCGATTTTCGCTGGAAGATTCTACTGAGCAGTTCCACGACAAATGACGAATCGATCAGAATCGACCTTCACAAATGTTAAATTTTGCAATATTGAAAACCTTGGTCACTAAAAAATTTACAAAACTCGTACACACTTAGACAAATACATGTTAATTTGGGGTGCTCTGAGACTGGCATATACGAGCAACATAATTTTGATGTACAAATTCAGTCATAACAGACGCGAAATTCAGCTCTATCAAACGTACTTTTCGTCGAGTATTGAAGTTTTCAGTCTCGAAGCACTTAATTTCACATGATATGTGTGTTCACGTCTCATTCTTCAAGTCGACGAAGGATTTCATCAAGTATAAAATAAGTTATTTCATAGTGTGTATAGGTCAACAACTTTTGGGTCTAATTGGTCTCTGGTAGCCTTTCACTTGATCCAATTCTTATTCCAATCGGTTCGTTATCGAGAAATTTTTTCATCGGGCTGTCGTCAGTGTCGTCTGATATTCGAATACCGTGCCCAGCCCACCGTAGTCGCCCGATTTTTGCGGTGATGACGATGGGTGGTTCTACCAGCAGCTGGAACCATTCACCATTCATTCGCCGTTATCGATCTGAATTCCTCCGTAGATGGTACCCAACTCGTTTCGTTCGAAAACACCAGGCGCGTTGGTCCTCCTCGACCATAGTAGTCCAGGTCCCGTAGGCTTAGAGGTCTAATGGCCTAATCTGCGTTTCGTTAACCTTTGAACACTCGCGCTGTTGTACTTTGGACAACACTTGTGGATTTTCCGTTACCATTTTATTGCAAAATCTCCTATCGATGTCAAACCTCAAGAAACTTGTTTTGAACAAAATAGCATAATTTTTGGTGAAAACTAACGATTTAAAATTGGTTCACTACTTGACTAGCCTCTTGGTGCCAAGCAAATCGATTAACGTACCCCATTCTAGTCGAAATTCTAGTACTACACTATGTTTGTTTTGATTCGCTATAAAAGTTTGACAGATATAATGAGGGGTTCGTTCAGAATTTTTTCACCACGCGGTTCTACAAATAACTGTCACCGATTTCAAAAATATGCAATTCTCAATGGGTAAAATGGGTATACGTTCAAGTATTTTTGTTTTACAGTGTGTACAAATATCAACTTGTATTGTGCATATCATACATCTGTATAAATCCGTGTGTTATCTTTTAGAAACTGAAATCTCTTCGAAAGAATGAAACATTTATTTTTCGCATCATTATAGATGTAAAAAGGAACCATGCGTGTAAAATCCGTTCAATATCAGAGCTTAGACGTATCGACAGGACTCCAAAAGTGCTGGAACTAAAACTTGCGTGCCAGCTGCGGTTCATTTTTGTGATAAATGTGCTGGTAGCTAAAGGTAAAAGGAGAGATTTTTGAATTGAAGTATACTAAGTTGAAGGTTATACAGTGTATCGCAAAATTGAGCGTACACCCTAGTGGAACATTTTTTTAAACATTCTGAATAGATGTATATATATATTTTTTAAATCTTGACTAGTTGTAATTTATTGTTTTAGTTCGTTTTAGTTTCAGACTTATTTGGAATAAACTGTATGAAGTTAGAT